TTTTTCCAACAGGTTCTTTCAGCCAATACCGTGACAGTATAGCAGTGGCAGTGTGTAATGATTGGTCAGAGTGTGGTAGGCTCCCTCGGTGTGGCCTGTGGTCTAAGAATAACCTCTGGTTTAAACCAGAGGTTATTCTTAGATGGATTAGTTAATGCTCTTTTATTACCATAATGATACAGGACATAGCCTGCTTTTTATTTTAATTAGATGCAAAGTGACCCATAAAATGTGCTTGTAAGTCAGAAAAGTACTGACAGGCGGAGGACTCTCTGTAAGAGTGAAGGCGGAGCTACTGAGGATAATGTCAGAGCAGTTCAACACGTCCACGTCAAAGGGAAGTCAAACAGGCTTCAGTTTCAGGCCTCGAGGCGTAAAGTTTTTGGGTTTTTTGTTGACATGTGTGTTTGTCTCAGCTGGCGCTGTTTAAACACACCAAATAGTTCTTCCCACAATATTATTTGTGGCTCAAACTTACAGTGAATACGAACTTTGTCTCATTACGAAGGTAAACTACAGTCTGGCAAGACAAGCAGTATATTAAATGTTGTTGTTGTTGTCTACTGTAAATTATTTTATCACAGCAGACAACGAGAGAAGCAACACTGACTTCTCTAACAGAGTTCAGTCACTGTCAGTAACACTTGTTTGTTTTTCCCAGCCTGGATAAATAATACTTGATATTTCATCACAGTAAATATTTTCTAGAAAACACCCAACAGACATGAAGTGCAGTTAAAAATATATAGTTAGAAAACTCATTGAGTGCAGGCAGAACAGGAAGTGCAAGTCTCCAACTGCAGTTGTAAGACGAGTGGGAGAAACTCTGCAGTCGAGCGGTGTTGGACAGGTTTGTGGTGGATTTTCACACTGCTATTACACACATATTACACACATATTACTATATATCACTATATATTACTACATATCACTCACTGGGACACAAACCTCAGTACAAGAGCAGTAAATTTAAGTCAGAGTAACCGCCACCCTTTACTGGTTTTACTTTACTTTTTCACTTTTTATATAAATAGATAAATAAAGGGATACAAATGTGTCACTTGTGAGTAACTGTGACAGTGTTACTCACAGAAAGCGGGTTTTGGCTGAACGAGTCATCATCCAGTATGTTGTGACTCAGGTCCAGCACGTCCAGGTTCAGCAGGCCTGAGAAAGCTCGCGCCGTGATGATGCTGATGTTGTTCTCTGAACATAAAGTCAGTCACATGACACTTCAATTTTCAATTTAATGATTCACCAGCTGGCAGCATAATAATCCACGTGGTAATGTATTCCAGTAGTAAATCCAGGATAACACTATGTACAGAAATATGGGCATCGATGGCTCACTAATGATGGCTGGGCTTCCTGAGCTCTGGTGTTTGCTCTTTTTTCTCTTTTTAATCTGTGAAATTTCTGTTCTGTGACTGCAGCTGTACACATACCTGCTAAATCCACCTTCGTGGCTTCAAGGTTGTGGAAGCTTGGCAGGTGAGTGATGCCGATGCCCCTGCAGCTGATCTCTCTCTCGGTGCTCTGACACTTAATAGAATCACAAAACTTTATTAATGCCCAAGAAAATCATGTAATATGTAACAAGCAACTCTATAAAGTTAGAAACCGTTTCTGTTTGATTGCTGGGCGACTCAGTCTTTTCTTCCTCTGCTTCTTCTTCTTCTTCCTCCTCCCCCTCTTCTTCTTCTTCCTCCTCCTCCTCCTCTTCTTCTTCTTCTTCCTCCTCCTCCTCTTCTTCTTCTTCCTCCTTGGAAGAAAAGAACAACATTTAATTTCCCGGACAAATCAGTAAGTAAATAAGACAAGTTTAAAAAGATAACTAATATTACAAACTATAACCTCTTCTTCTTCCTCCTCCTCTTCATCATCATCATCGTCGTCGTCGTCGTCTTCATCGTCGTCGTCTTCATCGTCATCGTCGTCATCGTCCTCCTCCTCCTCCTCCTCATCATCATCCTCCTCTCGTGCTTTCCTGAGATCCATCAGCCTTTTCTTCTCAGCGTGGAGTTCCCTGAGTGCAGCCATAAGAGCATTGCTGTCCTCGCCTCCTTTTCCACGCTTTCTCCAGCCGCCAACGGGTCGCCCCAAACCCGCCTACAGAAAGTAGCAGGAGACCATCCCAGGAAACAGAGACACGTCTCACATAAGGACTGTGTGTTACAGGTGCTGTTTGTTTCTGCTTTTTGTTTTGTTTCTGACAGGTGCACCAGTTTTACACTGCGCTTTTCTGTTTGTGCTCCTTTTGTTGTATATTCACTCCTATTTTCCTAGAAATGAATCAATAGGCAGATAAAAGAAACACATGAAGAGGAGCCTTTTGGGAATTTTTAGAGCTTATCTTGGAAAAGCAAAATGTGTTCGGC